ATTGTTAGGGTTAAGAGCTATTGAGTGGCGAGTGCAAAGTCTTTATATGAATTAGACTTAAGACTTTGAACTGAAAGAGTTTGTAATTTTTTTATTATTCTTTTGAATTTAAATTTGTAGTTTTAAGTTCAATAATTTAGCGTAATTTTATATTTAGTTCATAATAATAATAATATGATTCAGTGTTAAGAATGAAAAAGTTGTGTGATTTGTACGTAATACTATTAGTACCACAAAATAATTTTATATTTTTCCTTCTTACAATCTTTGCTTTGTAGTAAGACCCATGCTTCTGTTGTTATTGCGTTTGAATTAAAACAGTCTAACTGATATATATATATATATATAGTTTATTCTGATATTTTGCAAATGGTTCAAACTCAGTGTACAGGTGACAACAATAAAACCCATATGTTGGTTGTGAAACAGGCAAAATACATTCATCTCAATAATACAGGGAAGCTATGACATTCTCACAGTTGGGGTCTCAATACATTGAAGAGCTTAAGTTTCACATTCCAACATAAATCTTGCCTATAATGAGAGAAATGTGACCAGGACTAATCTTTTAAGTGCTGTAAAGTAATTTTCTTTGTAATTTATGGTGTCTGTTTCATTTGGTAATCTCTTCTTACAGGATGTATCAAGTAACAAGGGGTCAGGCTCAGGCGGTGTTTATTGAAACAACCTGTACTATAAACTGTTACATACATTTGTTAGTAGTGGCAATTATTTTTGTCTCTATTCTGAAACAACATACACGGACATATGTTGAAAAAAACTTGTTTGAAAGTTCAAAGAAATGATATTCAAGTACCGAAAAGCTTCTTTACTATCATATCTACAGTAATGTTCAAATGCGCATGTGCTCGGTTGAACGAGAGTGACCACCAACAGGGGTGAGATAGTTTATGGACAACGTACAAAGTTCATGCTGCTGACCTCACGGTTTATTTGGCACAATAAACAAAAGTACGACTGCAATGAAACATAAACATAAATTTGAAATAGAAATATATTTATGAAACAAAATTAAAATGTTTTTATGTACATATATAAACATGAAATCCTAGTTAAAAATAAAAATACTCATTTATTGTTTAGGTTTATTTACAAATATTATTTTCGGGTCTGTATATCACTTGAAACCATAAGAAGAGTACGTGATTATTAAAAAAAATTAAAAATAAATAAAATTTGCATTTTATGGATGATACAAATTTTTTAGGGTTGCAAAATAATGTACTAAAACATAAAAAGTAATCAGTTCAAATCTAGAACAAATATAAATATTGTAATCATTTCTTATAAATACCATTTCCTAATGTAATTTTCCAAGATATTAAAATTCATAATGCAAAAAAACTAAATTTATCAAAAGTAACAGGCTTTATGATTCTTAAACTACGTGCGTTTATGAAAGTTCTTAAAAAGTTTTAAAACTTTTTACCTAATAGTTTTATTGTTGGAATGACATATAGCAAGACTTGCATTGGCTACTAAGAAAGTTAGTAGCCGGTAGTCAGCAGGTTAATGATGAAGTAAACAAAAAAATAAAAATTATATAGAGAACAATGAAGTGACAAAAGGTTTGGTTGAGCAGGACTTGTGCTATTTATAACAATGACAAATTGAAAAAAACAAGAAATGAAACTCGTAAAATATTTAAAAAATGATATATATCTGACACTTTTGAAATTCTAACAATGACAGTATATTCTATACTGAAATTTTGTTTGTTGGTCAAATTGTTAATTATGTTTTATAGTGATGTCAGGAGTGCTATAACTTAGGGTAGTTCACAGCAGAATAAGATCCTTTATGGAACTGAAAAGTTATGTAAAAGTTTAATTGAAACAATAAAATGCTTTCGTTATTGTGAACTGTTCCTTGGGCTCTTCATTTGTAGTAAATATTTAAAAAGACATACTATGTCACTTGAGACTGATATATAATAATTTTGCTGAAAAACATTACATACTTTTGCAGGGCACTGTATGTTCATTTGAATGCAAATGCATATGTAGACTTCCATATTTGCGAGTTTCTCTTGTTACAAATTATAAACTTATTTTCATGAAGTTATTATGGGATATGGAGTACATGCTTCTTTCCAGTGGATGTTACGGTTGCTACCTAAGTGTTGGAGAACCTTTAAGACTTAAGTAATCCCAAACAAGATAGCCTTAAACCTTAAAGGTCAGCATTGTATTTGACTTTACATGGCTTTATGGAGTTACTTTCAAAATTTAATAAAACAAATATTATTAATGTATGTCAGTAAAATTAGCCTCAATATCCAGTACATAATTCAGGTTTTTATACTATCCAAGTTTTAATTTCAAAAGAAAATATGAAGATAGACCTTAAGTAGCTCTGCATAAAATTCAAAATAAACGAAAATGTATAAAAATTCTTAATTTTCACTTTTGTTGTCACAGGCACTTTTAATTTTTTATTTTAAAATGTACAACTCCAAGAGCCCAATCTGTGCACTATCTACTTTATGTAGATACAATCTGTAAAGAGTTTCAAGCTTCAGTGCTCTAAATTTTTCTAACCCATGACAGATGACCCACCCATCTGCTCTTCACTTTCGAGGCAGTTTTCAAAATCACATCATCTTGTTTGATGTGTTCGTTTATAACCAATAGCTTGCAACAATCCATTTGAAATTAGTGGCAGTACACATTAATAAAATCTCTGGCTTTGTGATTTGCAAAATAGTAAAGTTGACGCTTGTAGCGTTTAACAATTCTTATGGCTTAGGTATATTTCTGTTAGAAAGACAAATTATAGTTGGGTTTGAACATTCTGTTTTAGTGAACTATTTATGTTTTGAAATAGATATTTAAAAAGTGAAATATTTTTTATAACAAGAAGAGAAAATTATAACAAGGCTTAGCTCACTAGGCAAATAATGCAGAACTCCATGTGCAGAGCATGCGAGTGTATGGGAATTTGATAATGTCTTCTCTTTGTGACATGTTTGTTTCATTCATAAACAAACTGTATGCCTTATAAGCCAGGCAATAAAACTACAGAATGAAACTAAACTGTGTAAAAGGGAAATAGTTGACATTTTTAATAACAGGAAAATATAATTTTGAAAACAAATTATTTATTGAAAGAAAAAGGTAAGTTTATTTTATAATTTTCAGTTACAGTTAATGTTAAGTAGAGAAAGTAACAGATAAAATACAAACTTTTACCTTAAATAAGCTTTTGATATTCATTTATAAAGTTGTACTGGTTATGCAAATTAAATATGAAAACCATAAAATGGAAAGAAGTATTTTTATATTTACCTTACACTCATACCAATCAGAGTAAGTCAAACTGACTCCATAAATGCATAGGAAAAATATATATAATGTTCACTAAAAGTAAAATGTAAATTTACAGTTATAATAAATATTGATATTTATAACTTCATAGAAGCAAAGGTTGGTGAAAAACACCAACACCATCTCCAGTGTTATCAGTGAGTCTTATGTTATCTTACAGTTGAAGGTCAGCATAATATTTGAATGAAAGAGTAATCAAATGTTCTTACGTATGGGAGATTTACAAATATATATTTAGGCAACAATTTTGAATTAGAAGTGAAATTTGCAAAGGACTACTACTGTCTTGTTTTTAAATGGAACAACTTTCTGTTCTTTATACTTAAGCCTTTTAGAAAAAGACAAAACATTCTACCACTTAAGCAGAGTAAAAGTAGTACCTTTCAAAATTTATATGTTTAAACTACCAATGAGACAATGTCTAAGTAATTAAAGCTTTTGACAGAATGTGTATTGAAATATGTTTGTGTTTTATTTACTCTAGTTGTTAGAGCTGTTTGATAGTGAAGATCCCAGGGAGAGAGATTTCCTGAAGACAACCTTACATAGGATATATGGAAAGTTTCTGGGTCTTAGAGCATACATTAGGAAACAGATTAACAATATTTTTTATAGGTAAGATGCAATATTTCTCTTCAATAAAGATATGATAATTATATTCCATGAAATAGTACTTTTTATTTTGGATACGTTTTGCAGACACTTTCCTATGATACACTATAGTGAAATCAGAGATATTATGTGTCCTGGAAAACCTTAAATTATAATTTTTTTTTCTAGCATTGGAAAAAATGCATGGAATTCCTGCAGTTGTCCTGAAATTTTTTTGATGTCATGGAAACAATTTTCCATGACATTTTTTGCCAACTTTGAGCTCTCTGGGAATTTCGATTGATGTTTCCAAGTTTATTGTACTATTTTCTGATAAATTGAGCTCACACAGCGGGTAGCTGGTTAGATGTATGGGTGGTCTGCACCCTTCGGGCACTATTGGATGAGTTTTTTTATATTTATTAAGAAGAAGTCTCATTCACTGTCTTGAAGGGCTCATAAATTAGTACTTAAATTGAACTTCTTTTCAACTGAAATAGTATGCTGTTTTCAAAATTGGAAATTTTCTTGTACTCTTCTTAAAACATATATTCCAAGTTTGAAAACCTAAGTTTGTTGTTACTAGTAACCTTTTTTTTCTTGTGTGACTATTTTAAGTTGTCATTTCGTGTTTAACTTTGTTACTTTACAGTTGTGTTACTAATATTTTCATTGTTAGTTTATGAAATGCTTGAAGTGTGAAATGTTTTGAGTGAGACCAGAAAGTACACTTCTTAGGGCTGAGATCTCAGAGATGCATAATGTCAGCTTTTAGCATTAGACAGACCACACAATTAAATGTTGATAACATGATGTACAATTCAAGCTTTAGGGTTATATGGAACTTATTTAGATGTCAGTGACATGTTGTATAATATTATGTTTATATTTGGGTCTTACAGCCATATGATCTTGACAAAGCATTTATAAATGTCAACTTTAGTATTAGATAAATCTTAAAGTATGTTGCTTAAAATGAGATGTTATGCTGATGAGAAGTTGCATAATGGCAGCCTTGATGCAGCACATTGCCATAAATTACGACCGTGTCCCATGAAAGTGATGATCGAACGGAGAATCAGGTTCAGTAAGCTTTCAAGTGAAACTTAAAATCACGAACTGTATGGCTTTGAGAATCAGTATATGTTACTCTTCTAGATGTAAACCTTTCAGTTGTGTATTGGTATCGTAACAATTTATCAAATTAACTCTAATTACCAGTTTGTTTACCTGTTATTCACTACTGATGGGGCCCTCATATTGTATTGTATTGATTTTTACATTTATTGTCTGTAAAAATACTACAAAGAAATGACCCAAAACATTATTAGCTAGCCTTGCAGTATTCTTCAGTAGCTAGCCTTATAGTTTTTTTATTAGCAAGTCTTCCAGTTTTCTTTAGCAGCTAGTCTTGCAGTATTCTTCAGTAGCTGGCCTTGCAGTATTCTTCAGTAGCTGGCCTTGCAGTATTCTTCAGTAGCTGGCCTTGCAGTATTCTTCAGTAGCTGGCCTTGCAGTATTCTTCAGTAGCTGGCCTTGCAGTA